AAATAGCGTAAATATACATTGACTAACAATGCGATCAAGGACTAAATAGTTATCTGGATCTAATTCTCAGTGTTCCTTCACTTAACACCTCATCCTGTTTTAAACGATGCACTATCCTGTAATATCTTTTCTTCCGACCACTGCCTGCCTAATTTCATATTCTCGAGTTCCACTGCCAAACAACGAGGATGACACTTCTCCAAAAACATACGGTGAGTTTCAGCTATAAGTTTTCTGCAATCATAAGTTCATTTTAGATGGTTCGTTCAATGACAACCATACAATTATCTGGATTCATTCGATTGTTCTGATCCGAGCGAGTGTCAAAAACCTCAACAGCATCAAGCACCCTGGAATTAATTGCCATACTGCATGTTTTATTCTGGATGCTTTTGGATCAATACTACTCACGAATAGCGTTATATATGTCGTCCACTGAATAATCTAATTTTCAAAAATAACCCAGGCGAGTTCAACTATTTTACTTAGTTATGTTTTTTTGCACTTAACATGTATATGTTTTTCAGTTGCTTTTGCCATATATTTGTATGTGTCACTAAGCTAAATGCAGTAACTTCTTATGGAAGGTTTATAACGCATCATATTCCTGCCTGAAGTTTCACAAGCAGTCTTAACTTTAAAATTATTTTCTGGTCATGTTCATTATTTTTAAATTTTTATATACGTCAACAACCTGCATGTTAACCTGGCCCGTACATACGTTTTACTATATCTTCATATCTTTTGAATTTAGAAATCATCTGAATCGCCTTTAACATTTATCAATAAACCCATCATAGTCGTTGTTGCTAATCGTATTTGGGTTTATGGATTGGTGTATCATATTAGCAGCCTAAAATGCGAACATAGTTTAGATAATAAGATTAAAAATTTAGGTACTATCAACTGCACTAGTGAAATAACTAGATCCCTAGGTAGCTGTTGGTTAAACAAACGTTTAAAATCAAAACTCCGTAGCCTACTAGAATTAACACTAAACGAATCTTTCTGAATTAAAATTTATAATTAAATTAGGCGTCTCGGATTCTTTAACGTTACAAATTTCTGATAGTTTCGAACCACCTAAAGCAACATTACCTATTTTTCCACTGACTAATCCTCATTCAACACTATAACTAGTTAAACATAGTAGTTTCAGGATATCGTCATAAAGCATTGTCATGACTTGACGATCACGTAATATGATTGATAAAATTAATGAAACTATTAACAAAATCGGTCAGCAAATTGACTTATAATTATCACTAGTGTTGTTTTTCTTTTATCTTCATTCACTACAGATGATTACAGTATGTTTCTCTATCAGATGCTCACTCAGTAAATATCTCAAAACCTTGTCAGTCTAATTGATGGTTTAGCGACACAATCATGCATGCAAATAATCAGTATAAGCAGTCGAGCAAATCTCCTGCAAACTGAAAACATCAATGTCGAATTTACCCCAACACTGACTAAGGTTCAAGCCATTATCATAGACATGAGTTGGGAGTGTACTCCCCCTGGTTACAACTTATGTTCTCCCTGATAATCACATGAGCATCACTCACTATTAATCATCTTGTAAAAACTTATTTAGCTAAATACATTTTGCAGCACCACATCACTTCGTAATATGACACAGGTCTAACTGATTTTAATAACTTGTAACCACTATATCTCAATTAAATCGTGTTCCGCCTTATGATAAACTGCATACTTGCAACTAACTTGTATGTCCAATCACTCGGCAAGTATAAATACAAGTAAATAGTCTGCCACAGATCAGAACATTGAGTCTAGAGCATGTCTCTTACGAATACGCTCATGTTTAACGATTTGTTCCTAGCTATCTGTCCAAAATTCATATAATCATCACTCACGTATTTAAATTTTATTTTGATAACCATTCATGTGTATTAGTAGTATTACTAAATTCTATCACGGTCAAGTAAAAATGAGGTTGAGAAAATCTCCCCGTAACTAAATAAACCGTATCAAACTAACTAGAACACTAGTTGGAATTCTTTACCATGGTAATACTTTTGTTCCTTCAGTTAGCCTACTAATACAGATGCAATTGGAATTCAACTCATATGGACAACTTACCGGCATAATCGTTATCCGATTTCATAATTTAAACCAAAACTAATACCAATATTAACATTTCTACAATATTCATTATTTTAATATTTCTAAACACAAAATAATTACTGCCTATAAGTTAATTTATTAACACGCATCGTTTTATTATTATTATTATTGTAATCCCATTTTTTATAGTTCAAATAATCTTCAACCAAATTTTCATTTTAAGCGTGTTAATCATGAAAGCAGATATTTTAAGATTATTACATGTATTTTCCGACCAGGTACTGCCTTCTTTTTGATTTATCTTTCAGCTTATCAATACCCGGAGGATCTTTATTATCCTTGGTAACCTCCGGCGCGCGACGATCCCATCCAATTTGGTATCGAACCAACATCACGTTGATTCTGGTGGGAGAGTAGTGTAGTGGCATTGGACAATAGCCACACAATCCACAAAGCTGTGAACACGAGACTACTCAGAAAATAGATATTCAATATTTAACGCGGAGAAATACCTAACAATGGAGAAGGCGCGAACAATGAATAAAATGGACTGGAGTTGATCGGATGGCATGGCTCGACCATGCAGGCGTGGTTCATCTGAGTGTTATCTTATATCTCCTATTCATATTAAATATATTGTTCCTTCTCTAGCCTAACCTTGTTCTACATCATGTATTGGTAATTGATACGATACAGTGAGTTGGCGTAGTCGATGGTGTGACTTCCACGTAAGATCTTATAGATTAGGCAGTTATATCATGACAAATCTACAAATTTAGGATTAGGTCTATTATTAAAGCAGCACTAATATCATAGTAGACCATAGTTCTACATAAGAGCTGATGTAACATTATATCATCACTTGCTGGTCGCCAAGATGAAATTGAAACTCAAGAAGCACTGGACAATGTGGCGGACAACATCACAAATGTTCAATACGGCCTTTCTTCAGGATACTAACAAACTGAACAAATTCAAGATAGTCCTCAGCAATAAGTTCCAGGCCTTTCATGATCTACTCAATGGAGAGGAAACTACTTTGGAGAGCAACCGGAAGGGGATCAAAGAGGCAATCACCTCAATATGTCATGAGGTTCTGGGACACACGAAGCACCATCACAAGGAATGGATCACTGTTAATACACTGGATAAGATTCAAGAAAGGAGGAACAAGAAGGCAGCAATCAATACCAGCCGAACAAGAGCAGAGAAAGCCAGAAGTCAATAAGCAAGTGAAGAGGAGCATCAGAACTGACAAACGTAAATGTGTGGAAGATTTAGCAATGACGGCGGAAAAAGCTACAAGTGAAGGAAACATGAAACAACTGTATGACACAAAGAAACTCTCTGGAAATCACCGCAAACCAGAACGACCAGTGAAAAGCAAGGAAGGCAAGGTAATCACCAACGTTGAAGAACAACGAAACAGGTGGGTAGAACACTTCAAAGAGCTCTTGAATAGACCCGCCCCACTGAACCCACCCAACATCGAAGTAGCACCCACGAACCTCCCAGTCGAGGTTGGCCCACCAACAATTGAAGAAATCAGCATGGCCATTGAACAAATCAAGAGTGGCAAAGCAGAAGGATTCTGTAAGGATAGATAGTGTACAGACCTAATCGCAACTCTACGGGTAATGGTGGAACAATCAATCGAATGAAATTCATCACTCTACATCAACTTCATTGACTACGAAAAGGCATTTGATAGCGTGGACAGAACAACACTATGGAAACTTCTTCGACACTACGGCGTGCCTCAAAAGATAGTCAATATCATACAGAGTTCATATGATGGATTACACTGCAAAATCGTGCATGGAGGACAGTTGACAAAGTCGTTCGAAGTGAAGACCGGTGTTAGGCAAGGTTGCTTACTCTCACCCTTTCTCTTTCTCCTGATGATCGACTGGATCATGAAGACGTCAATATCCGATGGAAAGCATGGGATACAGTGGACGGCTAGGATGCAGCTGGACGATCTAGACTTCGCAGATGATCTGGCTCTTCCATCGCACACGCAACAACAAATACAGGAGAAGACGGCCAGTGTAGCAGCAGCCTCAGCACCAGTAGGTCTCAATATACACAAAAGGAAAAGTAAGATTCTCCGATACAACACAGCATGCACCAATCCAATCACAATTGACGGAGAAGATTTGGAAGATGTAAAAACCTTTACACATCTGAGCAGCGTCACTGATGAACACGGTACCAGCATATTTACAACTGAAGAACATCTGGAACTCAAAACAACTGTCTGTCAACCAACACCACGGTCAGAATCTTCAATACAAATGTCAAGACAGTTCTACTGTATGGGGTGGAAACCTGGAGAACTACGAAAGCCATCATCCAGAAGATATAGGTGTTTATTAAGAGTTGTCTATGCAAAATACTTCGGATCCCTTGACCAGACACTATCAGCAACAACCTACTATGGGAGAGAACAAACCAGATCCCAGCGAAGAAAGTAATCAGGAATAAGCACTGGAAGTGAATAGGACGCACATAGAGGAAAGCACCCAACTGTGTCACAAGGCAAGCCCTTACATAGAATCCTCAACTCCAAAGGAGAAGAGGAAGACCAAAGAACACATTACGCCGGGAAATGGAGATAGACATGAGAAAAATGAACAAGAATTGGATGGAATTAGAAAGGAAGGCCCAGGACAGAGTGGGTTGGAGAATGCTGGTCGGCGGCCTATGGTCCATTAGGAGTAACAGGAGTAAATAAGTAAGTAATAGCAACGTGAAGTAATCAAGAACTAGGATCTTATATGTCTGTGAAGATATTTATATAATCTCGGGTTGAAAAAAAACATTATTTCGGTTCTTGATGAGGATCAGAAACACCAAAAAGCTAATTGTTCTAAGCTCGCTATACTTGGTGAAATTAATCCTGAAGGTAATGCCACAGAGCGGGAAGTTCTCAAGTAGACGGTACTTTAAGGTCGTATACTTGTTTCAGTTTTTAGTGTGAATTCTGCCGCACAATCCCCTTTTAGACAAAGCCTCGTGTAAAACACTTGTTTTCTTGACTGACAATAAATTTTAAAGTATCATCTGACTTGTCCATAACTTGGTAGGCATGAAAACGACCCACTGTATTTAAAAGACTCGTTTTCATCACAAACTGACATCATCTACATAATGGACTTGGCAAATAAATCTGTTCAATCCACCCGTTTGTTTTGCTCTTGCTGTTTTAAAAACTTCACTACTGTTGAGTGTTTTTCTGATTGTATGTGTGTACTAGTACATATATTCAAACACAGTACGTTACGTATAATTGTCGACAAATTTCTCCCAAATATACGGCTTAAGGGGGAAAAATTGAAATTTACCCTAAATAACCGACGCAAAGCCGAAAAAGCGACAGTTCTTTATTAACGCCTTCGTCTACTTTGTTCATCCTTATTTTCCTTTTATTTGTTGCTTGGGCTAATCATCCTCAAATTTATTGTGCTGAAATATTTAAAAACTTGAAATGTAATATTGCGGGAGTATTCGCACACCGAATATTCCATCATTTACTGGCACAAGGGAAAGCATCTAAGGTTTTCCGAGCTCACTAGCGAAAGCCGCTTCAGGGTGTTATAGGAAGCAGAGCATAACGATCTAATTGTTAAGTCGCCATGTACCTTGTTTTGGCGTAGCTTCGTCCTTTAGCCAGATGCTAAGACCTATGCGGACATTTTTTACGGCTTATTTTGGTTAGTAAAATTGCTCTGGTTAACATTAACTACTAATCATGGAACTTTAATCCTTGGTATATCACAATTGGAAGGGATGTATAAATGTAACTTCGCATATCCAATGAATCCACATAAACTCCCACAGTTGAATAATACCATCGTTACAACAGAATAAGCGTTTCAGTAGCAATTTTGTTTCTACAACACAATTTATGAGTTTGGATTATATGAGGCTTTGTTCTGTCACTGTATCACCTTATCCCACTGTGCAGATATGATGAGAAAATTAGAACATGCATATGTGTGCTAATTCCTACGATGTCTATAATCAGTTGACTAACATCTGTAGTTCTGATCCTAATTTCATGTAACCATGAATACCTTGATTTATTTTGGTTTGTTGTTAAAGTTGCAAATATGAAAGTTGGCTTATGTGAACGTTCGGCTAAACCTTCACTGGAAAATTAGATGTGTTCTTCGGCGCCGCCTATTATTAAGCATATATGTCCAGTACTAACCAATTAGTCTACAAAGTCTCTTGATATGAATCTATTTGAAAACAAATTCAGCAGTGATCATAGATTAAGTGATATTATTTTCCTGAATTTTTCTTTCTGTCAAGTAAAACCCGAGCAAATTATTCCGGCTGAAGTGGATTACTTTTTCAAAAATGGTGAGGTCTTTGCATTTGCAAGGAAAAACAAGATAATTAAAAAAGCTTATCATATACTGCAGCGAGAAACATGAGATGTGAGCAGTTTTATGGTACGAGGAACAATACATTATCACATATTTTGATCAATTAGCCTCTTTCTTAAATATCTATCGAAATTTACATTAGGGTCGAAATACTTGTAAGACATTAGATTTTTGTAAGATGCGATTGTGTCTATTTGGATAGGTCACTTTTGCAGTCTATGGTGTCCTTAGCCACATTCCAACATTAAAAGTGTATCAAATATTGATTGACTTCTTTCTATCAAGCTTTATGTTTGTAATTTCAAGTTTACATTTGTATTTCATACTTCAGTTATTCTATTCCTACAAATTTCTTACTAGGTCCTCTTGTGTTATGATGGTTTCTCAGAATTAAGTAAAAATGCTGAAGTGACTAAATGAAAAACCTGAGTCCAACTTCTGTATTCTGCTGTACCTATAAATTTTATTTACAAAACACAAATCAGCCGTATATTAAATGTAAGTGCTTTCCATAAGTTTATGCAATCCTTGTATTTTCAGCAATGTAAGATTTAAAAAAGAGACCGTAAGTTGATGTGTTCAATTATCTGTAACTCATTCATGGTCTAAATGACATAAAGCGATTGTTGAAAGCTTTAAGATTATACTTAACTAGTATATGTAGTAGTTTCCATAAATGACAAAACATAACTTTAAAGTTTTCTGATTATTTCAAATGTTATTACATTCTGTTTTTACAGAATCATCACTATTTTCCTCGACTACTGAGAATTTTTAAAGACAATAATTTTCATTTATCGTTAACCTCGTAACTAAAAACTTGATCTCGTCAGGTGGTGGGAAACCCGCATTTTCACCAACGTACTTGTAGATAGATAGGAAATATCGCTAAATCGTACAGAAATATACTAATCAATACCGGTTACGTGAACCTATATTTAATCACTGATATGGAACAATATTTTCCCCACTTATTTTCAGTTTTTGTGCTGATTGGAGAGTAGTTTTTCTTTCATAGGCTTCTTAGCGAAAGTGTGATATAAGCATAACGTAGAGGAACCATAAGAAGTCCATGCTGTTCCCTGTTGTAAAAGAAGAACCCATCCCACAAACTCAATGCGATGCATAACCTACTATTTACAACTGTGAATTTGGCGGTGTTAACATTTGTGCGATTTTGGTATTTAAATCTTTTCATAACCAAACCAACTATTTACTTACATCTATTTCTAGCTAAGAAGTTGACTGATGCAATTCATTTATGTCTTTTAGGTCCAGTTCCTCCATGTAATATCATAAGTTATACAGCTTTCCTCCAGAAATGAACCAAACTCCCCAAGAACGTCTGGATGCTCTTCTTAAGTCTGCCGAAGATTTCACTATCATTCAAAATATAGACATTTCCCACTATGCACGGTTTATCCGGTCGATGTTTCGCTTATCTGTCCAGTTCTCAGAAGCAGGCCAAAAAGAAAGAGCGTACATATTGTCCATAAGAGCTGTTTTGTGTATCCGAGAGTTACCTAATCATAATGGTTACCAGAGACTGGATCCACGTGTTCAAAACGAACTCAAAAGTCTTGGTAAATTACTTCCAAAATCTGCTGAGTTCTTGAAGGATGATTTGAAAAAGAAGTACACAGAGGAATATGAGCTGTATAAAAAGTCACTTAGTATAACTGAATGGAAAGTGAATACTAATGGGCCAGTGGTACCTTTTCTTGATCATAGTTCAAAGCCGTATGATGACTATCCAGTTGATCCCAACTCTTATAGACTCTCTTTGTCTAACTTATCTTCAGTCAACGGAACGTTATATCCTGCTTTTAATAAAGCCTTCAACTATACTCTCGATGAGCTCCCAAAATCTTTGTACAGTAACTACGCGGGAAATTATGGTTTGACGAAAACATATTTATCCAGACATCTGATAAGTGACTTTTTGAACCTAGCTAGTAAAAATACTAAAGGAAATCGAGAAACTTGTGGGACCCTGTGTGGGAAATTAATTAGTGGCAATTTCTATATTACAAACCTTCTAATTCCGAAGCAAAGCGGTACTCCAGACTCTTGTGTTACATATAAAGAAGAGGAAATATTTGAGTACTTAGACAGGAGGCAGCTGATCACATTGGGTTGGATTCATACACATCCTACTCAAACTGCATTCTTATCGGCTGTTGATCTACACTGTCAGCTTTCTTATCAGACTATGCTTCCGGAAGCGATTGCAATTGTATGCGCTCCTAAATTCGATGATATTAAATGTTTTTCATTAACTCCTGATCACGGCATTTCATTCCTGTCAAAATGTAAAAAGACGGGTTTCCATCCACATGCCACAGATCTTCCATTATATGAACAAAGTCAACATGTAATATTTGACGATACTGTTGAACATTCTTCTGATGATCTCCGATAATCTGAAAGTCCACAATGTTTGTACAGTGAGTTCTGAATGTGCAAAATATTCTTTATGCTTTATCTACTTCACTTCCTACTGATGTTAATTTGAGGAACTATAAATGGTTTGCAGTATTTTCGTAATGAGACCCGTATTTATTGTTCTTGATTGTCTAGTGCTCCTTGTAAATGATTTTGTTGTTGATCAACAATCATAGAAGTTTATCTCTTGTAAAAAAAATAGAAGTCAATGTTTGCTAAAGTTATGAATGAATTGTGAACTCAAGACTAGAAAGAGTGTGAGACGTTGAGAAACTTCGTTGTTGCTGGACATCTATCTACAGGTAAAGCGTTTCGTTGACCCAATAGTTTTAAGCCGAAACAACATGACTGTATACGCATTTCATGGCCATAAGTCTTATTGATCTTTCCTAAAAGTCTTTAGAGAGACTTGTCTAAAACTGGTTCAAAAATCTTATTATCAGATGTAGGGGGAAAGTAGAATATTTAGTAAGCAGGAATATCGTTCCCTATGGATGTAGCAATACATTTAATTTCATATGAATCTAAAATGTGTCAACAGATATCCTTCTGAGACCAGTTAACATAAGGATGCATAACTTTGAGCCTTCCAGCTATAGGTACATTTTCAATTTTTCTTTGGCTTCACTGCGAAGATTTATGGAATGAAAGGACAAACGTACACTGCTTACAGCATTCTTAAAACCAACCCGGTGATTATTTTTTTTTGAGGTACAGATAGACATGACTACGACATCTATCAGACTGATATATAAGCGTATCACTGCCTTAATCTTATAAGTGTTAGTTACTTGCAAAACAGATGTCAGATGGCTCCTTGGAACTATTGACAGATTGTTAATCAGTATGTAAAAGATTTATACAAGATGACTAATTTTGAAAAAAATTATAAGTTTGGAAAATTGTTATCATATTATGTTGTTAAGTTTTAGAGGCAGTATTTAGTCTTACTAACGCACGCGAAAAAGCTGCACTCCATAGGCTCTTCTCTTGCAACCTGGTACTTTAATTAGTTGATATCTTGAATAAGCAATTATATTTGGAACATTGAGGATTGTTTTTGTTGCATCAACTTACCTTGTATTCAATTAGCATTTCTGCATCCCGCATAGTTTGGTCACCTTTATGATTAAAGCACACCCCCAAACTTACTCGTACTCTATGATATACTCGGTTTTAAGAGAAGTAACTAATATCTCACTTAAGTTTAAGATTTATTTAAAAATACGTACTGATACTAATGAGATGCGAAGCAAACTGTATGAAAACTTATTAAGAGGACTTACACTAAAATAATGAGTGGTAGATATATTGGCATCACAATGGTATAACGTAGATTAAGAGGGAAAATAGTATATTTACCCTCAGTAGCCTAATAATATCGATTTTCTTATACTATTAAAAAGTAATCAGTTAAGTAATTATTCCAGCCCTTAATTCATATTTTCACGTCAGACCATGCACTACAGATAAAAAAACTTATATCTCCTTGTTTTTAAAGCATACAGCCGTACATCCAACATCAAAAGAGCAAAGTAAGTGATCCTGTCGAAAAAGACTACAACTATATGCGTTATTCAAGGCCAGGAGCAGTTATCTCTTTAAAAAAAACAGGAAGCAATGTTTCACAACACGTACGAAAGACAAGTAAATATCCACTGAAAATTTATTATCACATGTCCAAAAAAAATGAATCCGCGTATTTTCATAAATTATCTTGTTGTATATACTAAAATGAAACATTTGTGTACAATATGCACTGGATATACTGACAAGCTTTAGAAAATCTCTTCAAGAGAACCTGAAGTAGTATGCCGAAAAACTTCGTGTGAGCAGGCGGTCAGTATCATTATGGTGCACGAAAAATTGGTTTCCTAAAATAGTATATATATATATAGAGAGAGAGAGAGAGAGTGTGTATGTATGTGTAAAAGATGAGAATCTCAAAATTTGCCCAGTTAGGATCGAAAATATATGAAACAAACGATTGTTAGATCTGAGAGTTTAAAAGTGAAAAATTATATATATATATATATATATATAAACTCATGCCCACGAAATAGTGGTCTGCGTCAAATCAAGAACTTTATTCATTTTGCCTTTTGCATCTGTAACATTAAGTACTATACGCGGTGGGGAAGATATTGTTGGATCCAAGTTTTCATTTGATTTTTTCGATGACCAAGCTTCGTCTTTAACGCTTTTATGACTAACACTGATATTGACACGACTGCCAGGATTTAGATGTCCTTGTTCATCAGCTAAAGCGAGAAGGCTTATTATCCTACGTTCAATCTAAAAAATTGATCAAACATAAATCCAATGTAAAGTATCATTCAATGTGATTTATAGTTTCGCCCTGATGTTAACGAATATTTACTTATCAAGTGTTTGGGGCTTTCAGCCATAGTATAAATTTAAAGGCTAGTTAATATTACCTGGTTGCTCAAACTAAAGTAGACAGAATGGGGTTTAAAACTGCGAATTGGTGGTTGAAGTTAGAATGTCTTAACCATTAAGTTATTACATTGTTGTTTAATTATATCATTCGTAATAATAGTCTAGCAATGATTATATGAGAAAAAAGGGTATTCATTATTCTTCTATTAGCGAAATTGCAAATCTGACTATCTGCACAATATAGTAGTTCCCAGAAAAACGAAGGCGTTTTTATCTCCTCATTTGAAGTTATTGTCTTGAAATTAACAACTAATGTATTGCAGAAAAATTTTACAATAAGGAAAACGTTTCACTCTCCGGTTAGCTGGTATAGGATAGTAGTAAGTCAATGGCCACACCTACATTCATCGATCGAAAACGACAATTGACTACACTTTCCACAATGTAAAATTATTTAATAAAGTAGTTACTTTTATCTGTACCAAGGTCGGTTAAGTCGATGGAATTACTAAAACAAACACTTCTACTCATCTAAAAGTCATGGAGGACTGATTTAGAATCCTTGGTAGTATGATCTATAAGAACGCGATGAAATCTGCCAGTCTTACCTCGTAATTAATTGATCTTGCTCCATAATACACATCATATCCATCAACAATAAGATCTACTACTTCACGATTCCATGTTACTGTGAGAGAATGCCTTTTCAATGCCTACAACAAAAATTACTCTAGGTTATATATCAAATTTTACATAAAAAAACTGATAGTTTATAAAATTAAGCATATATAAAATCTAGCAAGCAAGTTGTGTAACAGACCATGGTGAAAAAATCCAACAAGATACTAGACGTAAATAGGATTTACACATAGTTTCTTAAAGTTAACTTATGCCGTAGCACACATGAGTTCACCTAAAAAATGAAATCACTAAAACTACAACATCCCCTAACTTGACCTAAAAACATCTATTATTTCACATATATGAAAATCAGAGATATAGTGAAACTAGCATAAGTGAAATGTTGTGATTGCCACAATACAACTGATATAATAATAAATTCATACATCCTCCATTACTTTTCGTAACTTATTTCTTAAACTCTCATTTTTATACATCTAAACTCATTGACAGTAGGCTAAATCTTTCTAAAGAATTCAAAGTTGTACTAAATGTTAACTTTTCCATAAAAATGTATCACCGACATCAATTGCGAATTTCAAGCATATTTACTTGTGACCTCTAACAAATCATTTTAAAGAGACTTATTTAAGGAAATCAGTCTGGAAAATTGTTTAACTTAATAAATCTTTAAACAAATATCAGTCATTAATTGGTTAACACACACAGGCCAACCATGAATAATTGATTCCAACTATCTGTGTTAATCTAAAGCCTTATCCCTTAAGGTGAAATAGTCAATTTTTCACATTTAAGATTGGTGAAATTATACTTATCTAGTATCAGATTCTTTTCAGCTAAAAACATCATTCTACTAATTTTTCGACGTTGTTTCATATATACTTAGTTCTTGTTTCACAGGAATTAAATTCTTTTAAAACCAAATGGCAGAAGAAAAACTGACCTTCTCACTCCAACTTTTTAAACTACGATTCACTAGTTCGGTAAGTTCAGATGTTGAGAATGGTAAAAAGTAAACCATTTCATTAATACGACCAAGAAATTCATCACGAAGAAAATGTCTCTGTAATATTTATAGAAAAAATTAGATAGCAAATTATTAGGATTATTACAAGTGAATCCATGATAATTAGAAATATATAAAAATGTAACTAATGTTAACGGTTGCAAAATACTTGAATTACGGATGTACTAATTGAAGTATAGGAAAATTTAGGTTACAAAGTTGATGGTTTAAACGGTTGGCCTACGGTGGTACATTACTATCAATCAGATTTCGATATCAGTTAATACATGAAGAATCGTAATTGACTCGTTGCATTATGCTGTGATAAACAATTTACGCGACAGTAAATTAAGGTGAATTTTTAAACTATAAAATCTAGTTGCTTGGTCACTACTATTTATGTCCAAAATTCAATGAATAGTTGTGTGAATCGATCACTATCTGAGATATGATAATGTGTAGTAAGTGAACATCCATTTGCGTTTGAAATTAAAATATTTTCCAACAAAAAATAATAAATTGATATCTCGAATCAAATAACATGACGAAATTAAAAAAGGATATAAAATATCTTCCTCAAAGTTCCATTGAATCAATAACGGCTAGATAGTCAGTAAAGGAAGTGTTAACGAAGCAATAAAACTCAAAAATGGTCTGATCTACCTCCTTTGTAATAAGAAAATGACATCGGTTGAAGAATCATTGTATATATATATATATATATATATATATATATATATATATATATATATATATATATATATCGTCACATCTAACGTCTTATCACAATGTATCCAAGACCTCACGTAGAAAAGCTAACTATCAACCTTTAAATCTTGCAACAAGTAAGATATTGTCGAGGCTTCACGAATTCAGTCAATTTAGGGCTAGTATTTGATTTTACCAACGTTGATGTCTGTCTTAGCTTATACTCAATTTACTATACGATTTAATAGCCTAACACCAGGACTTCTGAAAATGCACCTGGATCGTAATCACTGGTGAGCGGATACGATTATTACTACTCGGGCAAACCGCATATAAGCTTTCAAAAAAAAGAACGGAATTAGGAATTCAGAAGTAAGAAAACAACAAAACTGGCATCGGTGAATAACACAATCATTGATTCAGTCAGTCCCACTTAATCGAAGAGCTATGATGAAACTGTCTATAAGCAATACAGGACCTGGCATAAAGCTGTACTGGTTGTGACAGCTCATATCAACAATGGAAATCTGAGTGCAAAACGTTTTGTTCAAAAAGAATAAAGGAAATATAAGTTTACGACTTACAGTAAAACAAAAAAATGAGTGCAAATCTATCACTGATCAATTCTGAATCATAATACTTAAGGGGACTATTTACTGGAACCCAATTCAAATGTGCCAGTCCTACATTTGAACTCAATGATATATCCATAAGATGCGATGAGATTTTAAGGCATTGTTTTATATAACAATATTTCTAAATAAGCTTATGGTTGACACAAAATAAATGAAAAAGAAGACTAAAATAATGGATAACAGTCTATTAGTCATCATTGTTACTGACCTACCCACTATACTTACCCTTAATATCGGACGCATAACTTTTTCTTTAAAGTCTCGAGATATTTCAATGTCAGCTTCTGAAGTAAATTTAGGTAGGAAAATAGACATTGGATTCGAAATGTGAAAATAATGCTACATAAACATTTCTTGTCGTATATTGTCAACCTATAAATGCCATCTACAACATCCGAAATTTCGCACTCGTGAAGTAACAGAATGAGAAAATTGAGCTTACATGATTTTTGATACGTAGTCAACCGTCTCGTCTGTGTCACAGGTAAGAAAAATCGAGACAAACATTTGGTACAGGATACCGAGATCTTATGAACACAACAACCTGTTAAGGCTTTATACGATGAACTGACAACTCGAAAATAACCTAAGTAAATAAGAATTGTGTCCATTCGTAATTAGCACCAAGACGGATGCTAAAAAGACTAAGTCAGAAGCCGTGACCTGTGAAACCAACCAAGATGTAGTTAAATACCAACCGTCCTATATCACGAATTAACTAGAGTTTGGAAATATGGATCGACATGAACGCTGTGACTTGAATATCTAATGATTGTTAAGGAGTCTGGTGCCGTGTAAGGTTATCCTTAACGAGGGAAAGACAACTGTCAGGGATTGATCTCCATCCTAGAAACTCACTAATCGACATTTAGTACGCAGACAAAACAGTCCTTTTTGATGAAGATGCTGGGAAAGCAGTCTTCTAATTGTCTTGAATAATACATCTTTAAGATGTGTTTTTCTCTCCCACATATAAAATTGTGCTTTAGCATTAATCTACATCAACCCCTAAACTAATAACGAGGAGCGAAACAGTTCCATGCATTGACCAACTGAATTATCTTGGATGTTTCATTAGCCCTAATGGGTTGATGTTTGACAAGTCGGTCATAATGGTTCAATTTTTTTCACTCTTTGTGTTCCTCTTGATCTTTAATCCCAGTATTCACTCATACATACCTTTTCATTGTCTTTTCGAAACATATTGTCAATCTCTAGTCTTTCTTAACAAAATTGCTACAAAAATATTTCCATTCGTGTTACAATGAGTCTCATTAATTTTATCACATCGTAAATATGTAGTATGAAAACTTAGGCCGATGGACTTTTGTGTTAGACTATATGTTGTACTATTAAATGACAAACTAAACAGTGATAATAAATGAGTTCAAAAAGTAACGATAACAACAAACCATCATTTCCGGAAACGTATCGTAGTTGTTGCGCATGTTCAGCTATAACTTGACTTCCAACATTCGATGTCATAATGAATATAGCGTCTTTACAGTTAATTGTAGTGCCACGCCCATCTGTTAACCGTCCCTAATAAGAGTAGGATGTTTAGTAAATAAGTAGCTAATAATATAATGATTACGAAAACGAATTTAGTTTATTAACCCCATTACCTACTCAAATAGTTTATTTGACATACTTACTTTACTTTACTTACGCCTGTTACTCCTCGTGAAGGAGCATAGGCCGCTCACCAGTGTTCTCCATCCAACCCTGTCCTGGGCAATCCTTTCTAGCTCCGACCAGTTGTAATTCATCGTCTTCATATCTGCTTCTATTATCCGACGCAATGTGTTCTTTGGCCTTCCTCTTTTTCGCTTCCCTTCAGGATTCCAAGTTAGGGCTTGCCTCGTGATGCAGTTTGACGATATATCTTATTTGACATAGTTATTAATATTTACATAAAACAGAATATTTACCATTCCTCACTTTTGAGATTGGTTACTACTTATATACAACTTACTTTTTTTACTTGGTAACACTAATCTAATAATACATATTAACACATATTACCCCTCGTGGAGCATATATCGCTAACTGGAAATCTCCAACCTGGACTTTCTTTACAGTTGTTGCCACGTGCTATTCATTCTTTTGATGTCTGCCAAATAAGTGTGAGTGAATATAACGGTCTTTTTTATTTGAAAACTATCACACTGGAACTGCTAAAATAACAGTTATAACCAGTTTATTCTTTTAAAAATACATCTGTCATATAAAGTGAAGGGAACTTCAAACTGTTAAACACAACTGAGTAAATATGAAATCCATAAACCAACCACCATATCATCCAATGAATTAAGAGATGCCTACAAATTACATATTGAATGTATGCAACTACATAATGCAATAATCAAACTTATCTCGATTCATTTATCCAGTCTCAACAAATTGTTTATATGTTTAGGATGTATATTCTTAAAATATTATTTGATAGAGACCATAAAGTGCTTCAAATGAGTTAGTTTCTTTACCTCAAATCATTAATCCAATCTTAACACTTTTCACTTTGTATACTGACTAACTGGATATGCATTAGAATTCTAGTAAAAGGGTAAAAATGATTAGAGAAGCAATTTCCCTTTATATTTCTTATTCATATCGTAGAAACAAAAATAGATTACAGAGCTTCAAGTGTTTATGTATCCCTGTTAAATAATAATGATCTTTCTTCGAGTTACTGATATACACATCTTTAAATTACCGCCCCATATGACGGAGCCATTGAATAACTGTACGCTGATATTAAATATAGATATCATAAAGTTAATAAGTCAACATAACTTCTTGATCGTGTATGTTAACATGACATGGAGTAGAAATTGTCACAAAATCAAACATATTTATTTAATGTCTTACCACCACAAACTTCAAACACATTATTACTATGGATAGTTTATTTCATATTGATGATCTGTTATTACTTGTTCTCCAGTTCATTTGTTACTGTTAGTGTATCAGTATTTTCATTTATTTGGTATTTTGTATTTTATGGAATTTTTTTATAGCTATGATAATCCAACCTGATATTCAAGTGTGTGAAGTATGTTTGTTTTGTTTCTTTGTGGCTTCTTTGCACTATTTTCAGCAAACATGTTTTCAAGTATACTTACGTACTTTCAGCAGAAGGGAAAATATATTGATTTACTTAATCAACGTTTGATAGTCAAATTTCACGATAACTGCTAATCTATATGATGATATAATCAATGAAATAACGTTATGGTATACAAAATTACAAATTTTGCAATGGGAAACATATGATACACATAACGTTCAAGTTTCGTAACGAATTCATATGACTGAAACAATGAATTTCTCATTTGTATATACATAGATAGATCTCTTGTGGAAACAAACTCGTGATAATCAATAAAACTTAAAGTACATATAAACAACAAATGGTTATATTCTTTAAGAGAACAAAAATACTTTGCATTTGGAGAAACTACTACTACTATGCTCCAGGTGCATACACATGTACGTTACCTGCCTATTTTTGCATGAAGAATATATATATATATAATTCATTTATTTTCTCTCTAATATACGTCCACTAGTTAGCATTTACACATGACTTTGAATCCGTGATTCCAAACATAAAAAACTAAAATAATGAGATCATCAATGAAGATAAATCAATATTTCGCTTATGGAATAATAATTAGATGGAACAATGTAAACTATTCCAATGATATTCACTTTTTAATTAAATGGTTTCTAATATATTCTCAGATATAGACAGTTACCTTCAAACAAACAAAAAAACTTATTGTTTATTACTAAATTAAATTCACATTTAATATGGAATACAAATACAAATAAACTGGTTTAACTATTTATTGATTTGATTGGATATTGATAAAAAATATTATTTTATAAAAACATAACTATAATACAGCACATAAATAAATATCGACAAGTGTATATGAAAAGTTTAATATAAACGTTTAGTCGCAATTAATGCTGCTCTATATGTTGACAAACAAAAATACATAAATATGGACAAAGACACTATAGACAGTAAATAAAATTAAAACATGAAATTTAATAAAACTTATTTATTGACTGTGCTACATAACAATAAAGTTGTGAATAAATAAATTTCTATAATGTGGTAAATGCACATAGTCATGGTATTGTCATATTTAAAATAAGAAACTACCCACATCATTTTAAGAATCTAAATTAATTTTGTTAGGATATGCAGAAAAATATACCAATAATTATCATGTTAAGTCTAATGGTATCCTTGGACTTTAAATGGACATTCCCTATTAGTCAATATTTATTTCACTTGTTAAATATTGTACAAATGTTGTTCTCTATTTTATGGTACGATGTGGTCTGTCTGATTGGTATATAAACAGAGTATGTTTGAAATACAATGATTCATATCTCAGAGGCTGAGACTTGCGTTCTGGACTCAACTGGTTGGGCTAGACGGGTAAGCAGGGCCAATCGGGACTCTAGGTCGTCTCTTACGTGTTTACGTGTCATTGATCCGATCGATAAGACGCTGCGCATCTAATCTGCAGTCCATAAGACACAACAAATTTAAATGAAAACCTTTGCTACATTCGTTAGTTTTTTTTCTTCAGTTTTTGAGGAATTATTTATTGGTTTATTTAATACATATTAATACTGGAACAGCTGGGCATCAAAATAAAGTATGTACCATACTAATAAAGAAACCAAATTATGAAGAGTTATTGAAGGGAGATGACTTGAAATACATAAACGACAACAATATACAAAAAGAGATACAGAACGGTTAAGTATGCAATCCAGAAAACTTCTTCCATGCACCCCTATGAAAAGTGTTTAAAAAACTAAAGCAGCATTGTTACTGGCTTCTATTCTGAGGCATATCTGACGTCTCAAGGCAGTGGGTCACATCACCTAATCAGGGAGTTATGATGAATTAAAAGCTGCGAGTCTTGCACAGCTTTTCTTCATACTATAGTGTCATGTCATCAGCTGCCCATTTCCTTTGATTTTTTCTCCTGCGAGTTTTCTGGAATAGATTTCTTATGTAGATAAATTGCTGTAGTTTACCAAATAAATTTAAAGAATATAGATAGAATGACTTCCTATTTGAAAATCAGTCAGTCAGTCACAATCTACAACCTGGTGCGTATGTTTATCGGTTCAAGTTGCTATACCTCATTAACACAGAGAGCTGAAGTCTTCAGGCCAAATCGCAAAATAGTACAGGTAGTGTGGTGCGTGCTACTTATATTGATATAAGTAGTATATTATGCGAGTCAGAAATGTAATGTCCGGTAGCAGAAGATGAGGAAAGATCAAGAAAGCAGGAGCGGGAATATAATGCAGTTTGTATGAAAATGTAAGAACAATGAAGTTTGAGGCATTTTGAGACAATTGGTGGACATTTTGCAAATTAGCGATTTAATATAAAGTTCTCAGATTTTATTGAGATGCTCCGTAACGTTTGTGTTAAGTACATTCGACTGTCCCCACCAGTGTTCTTGTTCAGTACAGTAGTAGCAGTATGAGTGGTGGTTGGGAATTCTGGACATCGAAGATATGATTCAAGAAAATATAAATTAATGAAATCATTACAAAAGAAGCTATGAAGGATTCAAAAGTTGGGGGAAGACATAGAAAGGATGCACGTGGACCACTGCAAACGATTTCGAGCCATGTCACTCAAGGTCTCTAGTCTTTGGTTACGATAATTACACGCACCCCTACAAGGTAGTCTACACCTATTAGAGCGGCTCTAAAAATCCATCGAGCAAACAAAATGTTATATTTATCTACACTTTTCCAAATTTCATTATTAGAATATAATTTTATATTTAGCCTTTACAAGGTTTAATGTACCAGCCTGTTATGATAAATCAATTAGTTGATAAAATTAATAGAATAAATATTATGATTTAAATTATAATTGTATTCACAGAACCAATTCCTCGAATTCTAACTGGATGAGTTTTGAAAAATAAAATTGTTAACCGATTGAATGAGTATGTGAGTTCATATTAAAGATTTAAAACTTGTTAGTTTTATCTACAAAAAGTTAGATATACAAAAAGATATGAATTAAAATAATAGGGATTACTTAGTTACTAACGAACTTTCACTTCCGTCTATTAGTTCAACATTTAACTTACGAAATACTTATAAGTATAATATTTTCAATCTGAGTTTATCAATAAAACATACATTATAAAATTGTATAGATTAAATGTGACCTACTTCATCAAATAACTGTAACAAAGCTGTCAAAACATCTGGATGAGCTTTCTCTGTTTCATCAAACAAAACAACTGCATTAGGACAAGCAGCTAAAGCTCGTGTAAGCTGACCACCTTCTTCGTGACCAACATAACCCGGTGGTGATCCGATGAATTTGGACACCTATAAAATAATAATGGAAAATTTTAAACTAATCATATGCACAATGTAATACAGAGACTGAAAAAGATAGAGGAAAAAAACTTATATACCCACTCATTAACGCACATATGAAGACAAAAAAAAATAAGAATTTTTGAGAGATGATATCCCAGGAAACCAAACAGATCATGTGTTGTTGAGAAGAGAATACAAGGTAATTGTGAAGTGCAAATGTAGGTAACATAATTTTGATGAGTTATTCCTCTGCTCAAGGTCGCTGGCCACATATCGGTTTATAAGCCAGTCTAGTAGTAGCAGTATTTATTCGGCCTTCCGTAGTAAATGTTCTTGTGTACAATTAATTTTTTTACTCTTCATAGCTGGTTTCCCAAACGTCATAAAACGTGAACTGTTAATCGAAAAGGACGGCAGAACATAGCAGAATCATACTCTGCCACCCTTTAGTTCCACAGCATCTCAAAAGACGAATATCAGAAATGCACAAAACTCAAAGTCTATATAGCTGCTAATAAAATGGTGTTCAATCTCTACGATAATCTTAACGAAATGACAGTGGTATTGAGTAGTTTGCCAAAATCTTAGGGCATCATGTAACAGAATAGCACAGAGCTGACAGAATATTATCGATTGATTAACTGCAATCTATATTTAATTAATTAACTATTAATTCAATAAAGTTATTAGCCGATATCAACAGAGTGACACAAATATGGGAATCATTATTGATACATATTACACGTATTATTATGTAAATGGAAAGGTATCGGAATGCAGAAACACTATAAGGTGTGAGCAATTACATTAATTTGAAATAGATTTCGGTCAATTTGTATGTTGTCAAATTAACGGGGTGTCTAAAAATAAATAAAAAACACAAATGATGCTAGGGTGAAGAGAACAAAGGAGACTATGAAAAGCGCTCGTCTATTATTTGATGAATAAATTGATATGTTTCCAATGAGTTTTTATAATACTTGTTGAATGAGTTCATCGCTATCTTAACTCTACTAACTTAGGGAATCAAAAGTTGACGTTTAAAACGATAGATGCCAAGTTCGAGTTTCAGTTTGCAGAGTGACATTGAGATGAAGATATATTCAGCTGACAAGTCCTAAATAGGTCGTAATGCGTATGCTGGATAATGTTCGTGTCATGAACTTATTGAGATTTATAAATTATGACATTTTGATTTTGCATTTTAGTTATACAATTATGTAAGCTGTGTGTTTAAATAATAAAGATACAATAACGATACACGAAACCGTTGAAATACTTCGAAGGAATATTCTTGATTATTTTGCAGCACAACCCAAGCTTAGTGGTTTACTTGTGTAGTTCACTTATTTCTTAAGAATTTTTATATTGAAACCAATGGTATTGTAGTGAAGAAAGCCTTGGTGGGGAAAACCAGTTTATTATTTAATACAAAATTACAGAGTGCTTTCGTAAAATATGAAAACCATAGATCAAATACATAATTTTCACATCTCCCTTAACATATTTTATGACTCTTTCAATCCCGTTGTTATTACAATTACTTTCTGTTTTCTTCAAAAAATCTTAACCATCTTCTGCAGTCGTGAATTTCACTTCCAATTTGTGCTACACACTACTTATATCTGTCGACATAAGTAGCATATGCCGCAGTATATGTACATATAACTAAAACCTAGGAAGTTAAGACGTGCCTCAGTGGTTAGGCCTTTCGGCTTTGAGACACCACTTCATCTACTTCCGTTTGGGGACCTAGGTAGTGTCTGTTGCCCTCACGCTTAAAACTAAGTACACAAATATGTATCAGGTACACGAGCTAGTAAGCTATTTTAACAAAGAACTTGGAAAATACATACTTCATGTTTTTCTTGGTATTCCGACATATCAATACGTATAAAGCCCTTTTTAATGTCTTTATGTAAGTATGCTGCTACTTGTTTAGCCAACTCCGTTTTGCCTATACCGGATGAACCGAGAAACAGAAATACAAGTGGATGATCTTCATCATACCAACCATTTTCTTTACGTCTTATAGCTAAATGAAAAAAAATAAGCGGAAAAAAAATGTTGAAAATATATTTCAAAACAACCACTTTACATTTGAATTATGATAAGTTAATTTATGGAATTTCGAAAAATTTCAAACCGACTCATGTCACAAGCAGTTATTTTACATAATCCTGTATAATCGAGATATACATAAAATGTGCTTATGATTTATTCTAGGCTAACTAAATAATGAGCAACACATCATTAAAATGACCCATACGTTGATTTAATGAAATTACACACACTGACTAATTTGGCTAATAGGTCACAATATTATATAATTCCTAGTTCATGTATACATAATGCATGTGACAAGTAAATTACAAAATCATTTTCTTCCACAATTTTCCTTAAAAAGTTACACAAGATTTTCTAACGAAGTCATCTAAACTTTTAAAGAGATAAACAGCGCTGAAAACACTTGATTTAAATAGTAATACTGAGAGTATAGCAACGCGACTTTCAACCTGAAGTTCATACATCTGACAATCTATCACAGAGATTCATACAATAAAAATCCATAGATGGAATATCAAACTAAAATAGGAGTTTGTAAATTAATGGAAATGTTGACATTTTAACCCAAAAAATACCATAACTACGTGAACGCTAATAAAATCACGATTTATTTAAAACAGCAGAATCTTAACCAGTGAGTCACAGGTTCGAAATTCGGTTCGCTTCATTTGCCTCCGGTAGTTTTTTTAGCGTCATCAACGCATGCACAAAAACTGAAGCTCAAAGTCGACTACAGGGTTCAAATATGCAACCATTTTAACTATGCATGAAAATATTGAAGTGCTTTTTGTACTACTAGTTTTATCTACAGTAGCTAAGTATTGTTAACCCAAAGTAAATGACTACGGAATGTATCTACTTAATTAGGAAGTACAAAATAGTAACTAAATATGTACAATTCTAAATTACTTTAGACATGACATATAAATATGATATTTTACACTACGTTACATTTAAAAGGA